ATCTTTCTTCTATCATTGACAGTCCCTCTAGGTTGTGGGCTGCTTGCCTGTGTTCCTGAGAAGCATCTACGGTACCAGTCTATAGAGTGTGTTTTCTTTAGTGAATTCCCGGTATGTTTACCGGTAATAAACTTGCACTGTTTTATGTATATGTTTGATTACATACAGCCTTGTGACAGTTTTCCTGCATGTCATAAGCATTTGAATATAAATTAAAATGTTAAAATCAAATCTGATATTGTTTTACCTTTTATTTGGTGTGTGGAAGGTGTGCGGAAGAGGGGGTAGTCTTATACGGCGAGTATATAACAAACTCTGTATTTTGAGTGGAAATGTTAGGGGGTCGTCTTATACGCCCAGTCGTCTTATACGCCGGCAAATACGGTACATATGGCACATTTATACAATGGACTACTACTCAGTGGAAAAAAAGAAGAAAAATTTACCCTCTGCCACAATATGGATGGACCTGGAGAACATTATGTTAAGTGAAATAAGTGGTGAAAGACAAATACCATTATGATTTCACTCACATGGGGGATCTATTGAACAAACTGAAACTAACAAGCAAAATAGAGACAGACTCATAGATAGCAGGCTGACAGCTGGGGGGGGGGAGAAAAAAAGAGAAAGAATTCATGGACATGGACAATAGTATGGTGATTGCAGGGGAGAAGGAGTGGGTGAAGGTGGAGAACGGTATGGGGGGGATAAATGGTGGTGGAAAAAATTAAAATACAATAAAAGAACAACTTTCTAAATGTTTTTAAATATATTTTATTGATTTTTTACAGAGAGGAAAGGAGAGGGATAGAGTTAGAAACATTGATGAGCTGCCTCCTGCACACCCCCTCCTGGGGATGTGCCCGCAACCAAGGTACATGCCCTTGACCAGAATCGAACCTGGGACCTTTTAGTCTGCAGGCCGACGCTTTATCCACTGAGCCAAACCGGTTAGGGCTAAAAGAACAACTATAAAAATCTGTACCGTGTGTATGTGTTATATATTCAAAAAAGGAAAAGGGGGAAAATCCATTTTTAACAATACACAATTATTATATGTTTTAAAGATGTTCCTTTGTGTATTAGTCACAATCCTCTCCTTTTTTTGAAGCACTGGCTAGTACGTGCCGGTTACCCAGCCTTTATCACCCTGGTTGTAACTGTGTTAAGTGTCCACTTTCCCCACCAGACTGGAGAGAAGGACCCGGCCGGAGTCCCGTGTCCCAGGCACCGAGCGCTAGACTCTCAGGGGACCATACATTGCAAATAAAGGCCTTGGACGAGCTTCTCGTCCCTTTCAGTTCAGGCCGTCCAGGAGCCCTGGACCACGTGGAGCATTTTGCTTTTTGTAGCCTCGATTTCCGCCGCTACACAGTGGGAACGGCCGCACCTGCCTCTCCGTGTGAGTGTGAGAAGTCAGGTGATGGGTGTGAAAGTGTCGTTGCAATGCAGATATCCATCCATCCATCCATCCATCCATCCATCCATCCATCCTTCCTTCCTTCCTTCCATCCATCCACGGAATGACGCGACAAGGGCCGGGCAGTGCGCTGGCCACTGCGGGCACCCGCTCCTCGCGCACGTCGCGAGACCGGGAGGGCGTCTCCCCACCACGTTCTTTCTCCCACGGAACTCCGGGTGCTGACCTTATTCAAAATGGCGCCGGCAGCCTCGGGGGCTAGTGCGGCGGCGCGGACTCCTCGTGCCCTCTGACCTGCTGGCAGCGGCCGAGGGGAGCCGGGCGCCGCCATATTGGCTGTTGTCCTGAGAGGGGAGCGGCGGCGGCGGCGGCGGCGGCGCAGGGGGAGCGAGGGAGAGGCGCGGGCAGC